TTTGCCCCACCCGGTATAAATAATACCCTAAACAGTGATAGAATTGAAACGAGCTAGAGAAACAAGAAAGAAGTTAGTGAAACGGAAAGAAGAAACACACAAAAAGGTAAGAGAAAAAGCAGCATGAAACTAGCGAAACAACAGCAAATGATAGAACATTGTTGTGGATCCAACAAATAAAACAGTAATAAACGACAATGAATTGTTTCATTAGCGAAAATCTTATGAAACAGTAAGAAATTAATTGCTACTATAACAGTAAAAAAAACATCGCTTCACTAAAGTCTTTACACAAAGCTACAACGCAGCAATTTAAATTACAAAAAAACTGCATTAGAGAATTCAATTATCACGTTTGTTACTGATTTCTATAGGTATTATTATTATTAAGAACCTAGTAAAGAAGGTATTAGACTTTTAAAACTGTAGCATTGACAAATTATCACAAGGTCTACACGTTGCAAAACTGAAAAAAAAAGGTTATAACCGTAGTTAATTGCGTTTCTTTCACTCTCAAGTTGCTAATTAAGTATTCTAATTAAGTATTTCACCATTAAAATTCCGTTTCGTCACCCATCACGCCAATGATATTAATACCATAGAAGCATACAGGAATAACAAAAAGTGCTGTTGAAGTGTCTTCAGGATAATTCTTAAATCCACAAGACAAATATCTTTCTTTATAATTGCGACACTTCACTTTTTAATTTATTAAAATGTAGTCGTATCTATAAATAACAACTCGGCATATTTTTATGAATCGATGGAGCGTAAATTATGAAACTGTAAATGACAAATTTACGAGTGTTTTGATGATAACGAAATTCGTATTTTTGTGAAATAACCTTGTATATAGACGGCGATGCTACCCCAGTAACAAAAGGAATGGCCTCGTCATCCTTAACATCTATAAATAATTGCATATGTAGAATTTTCTTTAGGTGTTGTAGGCCTATCAATAGCCTTGTGAATATCTCTTGACGCTACGGGTAGTAACAATGATAACTTACTATTGATACTATAGGATAATATAGTAACAATATCAAATTTTTCTTTTAGATTTAAGAAAAATCATTGCATATGAATGAGTTTCTTGGTGCAAATTCCTCTGTTCGAATGGCCGCCTTGGTGCAAATTCCTCTGTCCGAATGGCCGCCTTGGTGCAAATTACTCTGTTCGAATGGCCGCCTTGGTGCAAATTACTCTGTTCGAATGGCCGCCTTGGTGCAAATTACTCCGTTAACGGAGGAATTGTACCATAAAGGCTTTCCGAACAGAGGAATTACACTAAGAAATGCCTTCCCCAACACATGGTGCAATTCCTCTGCTCATATGATTTGTGATGCTGAAGATAATTGTGATTTTTTTTTTAAATACAGTAGACCCCCCTATAACACTGTAGATAATTCAGTTTTATATGAATTCCATGTTGTACGAGTCACTTAGATTTTACAAATATGCGTGCGGGGCTGTGAACGGCTCGCGTATTTGTAAAATCTAAGTGACTCGTACAACATGGGATTCATATAACACGGAATTATCTACAGTGTTATAGGGGGGGAGGGTCTACTGTACTTAATTCTAGGAAATTAAAGATAGATTTTCCTCGAGATTCTTTAACATTTCCTCCTCAAAAAAAGTAAATTTTTTTTTATATTTCTTCCGTTTTTTGTCACCCTTTTTATTCTTGGAATTACAAAAGAAAAAAAATTCCTTTCATAATTTAGAATACGCCATTAATTCGAATTTTAAATCAAAAAACATGTTTTCGTAAACCTAAAATTAAATATTTCATCATCAATTAACACTCGAATCAGCAGAGAAACGATCTGTAACTAACAAGACAGAATAGTGAAGTGTTTCTTTTTTTATAGAATTAATTAATTTCCTCGTTACAAAAATCAGTATCGAGGCAATAGACTTAAGCTTAAACAATGAGCAGGGGTGCATTAAAATCCGTATCAAAGCGTCCTAAATCTTATGTTAAATTAAAGAAAAGGTCAATTTACTTCTAGGCACGAATTTCGGCACTTCGAAGAACACCCACTTTCTAGAATCGTGTTTTAATATCGATATCACGTATGCCTCGGGGCAGAAGGATGGAAGCTGGCGAGAAGACACTACTATTATTCATTGTTTACTCCTCACAATACGTCGTTTGTGCTTACCTTCCGCACAAACGTGTGAAATTCGTGTTACTGTATCGACACGTGATGTTCCACGCGCAATACTGGGGTTTAGATCGTACTAAAACTAAGCTAAGAAGCTAGCAAATGGGCCAAATTGTAAACACCTAACACTTAATTATAGCAATATTTTGTAAATAATGTAAATGTATTGATGTGACCCATATTCTTTTTCACATATTTATCCAGGTGACACACCTAGAAAGCATTCTAATGATAATGTATCGAAGATTGTTTTAAAAAAAATATCAGGAATTTATGGGAATTAATAACGCAAATTTCCTTATTTTCTAACAGATACCCTAGTATTACGTCACAGTAGTCATCTGAAACACACAAAAAGGTAATTGTTTAGGAAAAGGAAGCCATTTTTTAAACGCTTCTCTTTATCAGAAGTTGTATTTTTTTTATTAATTTTAAGTTAAAATTAAGGGGAGGCCACTTTTTTGAGTGGTTCCTCCCAAAATATGGAGAGATTTCTATCTATTTTATAGGTCTCAGGTGAAAGATTACTAGATCAGCTTCACTCGAGATGTAGTTAATGTAGAGAGCCTCAAAATTTGGGGGGTTTAGATCTATATGTATATAGTTTTATTTAGTTTAATGGAGGAATTTGCTCGAACAATATCAATTTCTAGTGTTTTTAGCATAGAAGTTAAGAGGTGAGGAGGCTTTAAGGGGGTGAAAATAGCTATAACACGTGACCTATAACAGGTTACTTCCTCCTGTAGCCAGTTTATAATACAGAACAGTTGTAGTGTGATAGGGAGAAAGAAGGAAGTTAAATTACAACTACAGTATAAGGGCTTACAGCACGAAAGATCCAACACATGTAAGGTTCGAATAAAGTAAAATCAACAGCATGACCTGGAGAGAAATCAGGTAATTCAGAAATACAAGTATACACAACTAGCAATTGTCAGTTGTACACTAGGAATAATGCGATGCAACTAACATTAAAGTGATCAAAAAGGCCACATGACGTAATCGGGTGTGGGTGCGTATGGGCAAAAAGGTTGTCAACTCCTAGCCTGGAGCCTGTTGGTGGGAGTTGCGGTTGGGTGGGAAATCGTGGCAGTGAATGCAACGCTCTGGGAACCAGACACGTTCGCTATCATTAACCTGCTTTTAATTCAACACTCAATGTTTGTTTAGCCTTTGTTTGGCCCGATTTTTATTCGTTCGGATAGAAAAATTTGCACAACAACCCTACAGAAAGAAGGGGGGAGAGAAAGTCGGAAACTAAACCGCAATAATTCAATTTTAAACGAAATTTTTAAATAGGGAATTCCACGAGAGGTTTCGCAACACCCCCAACTCGAAGATTACACAAAGAGAAATTTGTGAGTTTAGGGATTTTAAGGAAAAAAAAACAAAAATAAAATAAGGAAAATCGATCATGCAGAACTCGAAAACAGGAATTTTAATCCGAGTGTAAAGAGTTAATTGGGGTTAATAGAGGAGTCTTACAAGATTGCAAACTGTTAATTAAAACTGTTAAGGTCTTTGCACCTTACAACACGAGCCGCTGGAGCAAAGATTTGATTGAAATTTCCTTTATTTCTAGACCAAATTCACTCTCAAAACAAGAAAAATTTAAACTTGTCAGCGATAAGAATTAAGCAATAGAGCTTGAAAAGTTGACAAGAGAAAGAGCGAACACCTACGTGTAGCATCAAATATCACGATGTCCCGTTGACCCATTATAATTGCCCATTTGCAGATCTCTCTTCCAATTCTTAAGAGGGGGGGATTTCCGCAGCTATTTTAGCTCCCCACTCCTATAAAATGATGCTAAATCGAGTCCAGTTAGCATTATATATATATATATAGTAATAATTCGCTTTAAACGTGATATATCTGATGAGGTAGTATTGTGAAAGGAAGTGGGATGTAGAGTTTAAGTGCTGCACCCTCTTCTCGTGTGGCGCGAGGTGAATAATTATTAAGTATGTTATTTGGGAGGGAATACTGGCGTGTAATTATGTAATAAGTGAGGTATATAAATTTCTATATGGATTTAAGTTAGGCGGAGGTAAGCTTTTGTGTGTTGACAGGGCTCTATTTTATCATTTCAAACCTTGTCTTTGTTACCTACGTGACTGGAAGGTTAAATTTCCCTATAAAAATTTGAATATTTTGCAATTTAAAAAACGATTTTGATATAGTTACATTACCTTAATTATGTTACTTTGTATCTTAACACACTTTCTCTTGACAGAAGTTATTTACACTAGGTGTAGCTTATGGGAGGAACAAGCTCACAATAGTGTGCTTACTTGTGATAAATACACTAGTGTAAGCTCGGGTGAGTAATTATGAGCGTAGAGTAGAATCCAAATAATTGGTTCCCCTCCTAAAACCCTAAATAGGGTCTTTAGTACAGGAAATAATTCACATAAACCAGTTACAATCAGAAAACCGTATACAAAACTTGATCTAAGACCCTAAAAATAGGGGTTCAGATTTATTTTAATGCGGATAAACATTATTATCATCATCATTGATTTAAAAACAAGCATGGTTGAATGTTGAGCGCACAAGAAAAAAGTATTATATCCTATTGTTTCATCAAGTGTATAAATAAACCTTTCCCCCCAGTTTTATTTCCTATTAAATTAGGGCGCAATATGGGTTTCCCTACTCAAGCTGTGCCCTAAATGACTTCATTGTGCAGGATGTACGATTTGTTTCGTTACAAATAAACCCAATATTGCAAGTGTAACATACATTCGAAGTACTAGATTGACAACATGGCGGATGTAACCTAGCGCCATCTAGTGTTTTGTATTAGTAACTGTGTACATGTATTGAAACATGACAATGGCTTATACGTAACAAATTTATTCAAAAATAATTAAAAATACCAACTATATCACATACATATATACCAATTACAGATCTTTAACAGCAAGTTTATTTTAATGTTGATTAAAAAGAGTGCAATTAATGTTGCTAATTTGCATACATGTATATGTATGCACATTTCTCTAATTAATAAAAGTTTGAAATATATTTTATAAATCACACTTCATTAATTAAAAACCCTTCTTTTCCTGATAGAAAAATGCAGTTTTTGTCTTGTAAAGAGGATGGAGCCATCCCGCACACTACTAAAACATTAAATTTGGCATCATTTTGTAACTTTAAACATGAAGTTTTGCACCAGTAGAGTCTTTAAAACAGTTCACATGTATAATATAAAGCAATATATTTGTTTAAAAATACTTAAAAGAACAATTTTAAGCAAAGTATTTAGTGTATAATGTATTTTTTTTAAATATATATGTATATATATAATATATTCTTTTATATCATTAAAACTTACTAAATATATATATACTTTTTTGTTTTGTTTTCTTTTGTATAAAAAAAAAAGCATAAAACATTGATAGCCAAGAGCACGCTACGTTTAAACTGCTTCGTCTTCATGTTTCTGCCAGCGGAGAAGTCTCGTTCACCACTAAAATAGAAAAATTTTATAATTAATCAGTGAAAAATAACTTTTGAAAATGTAACATTAAAACAAACAATAGTTAACATAATAGCAAAATGGACAAGACATCAAGCGGACAAAACTGGGCCGGTGCGGCTGGAAACTCATCTTGCACCAGGCGAAGGTGGTTTCCATATAAAAACAGCGTACAACTTATAAAAAGAAGTGCAAAAAATGATGTAAAGTAAGTGCTTAATTCAACATGGAACCAACATTTTTCTATTATAGATGCATTATTTACTTGTATTTGGTTGAAGTTCTTTGATCTGAATAATCAAGAACCAGTTTCATTGTAACAACACTGGCCTCTAGCCATTACAATGCTTTGTTTTATGTTAAAACAAGGCATTGCAATGGTCAGAAATACACTACAGTCAGATCTGGAATGGGTAGAGAGAGGAAACAACTGTTTAAAGTATAGAGATGGCTGCAGCGGACATTGCAGTGTAATTTGCGCTTCAAGAATCAATTATGATGCTTCTCAATAAAGAAAAAGCTGTCATATTATAATTTAAACTACTCCTTAAATGGTATAAATAGCATAAATTTAAATTGGATTTGCTTCTAAGAAAAACAATATATATATATTATATATATAAATATCTTTGTGAGAACTTTTACAAGTTGAATTACATTAAGTGATGTGTAGAACCAACCTATCACAGTATTATTGTATCATACAATCTTACCCATAAGCAACATTAAGATGCTTAAATTACATTGGTTCCATGTTAAATAATCATGTAACATTTAGAATTGTGTGTAACAAAAACATTTAAGCATAAGTGCTAAAGTAATTTCTTCATGATTGAAACCCAAATAATTTAAACTGAAATTTCCAAATATACTGCAAAAGAAGCATGTGTGTATATGGGAAAAAAATCATCAGAAAACTTAACTTCTGCACCTTGAATTGTTCTTCTTACATAAAGGAACACCCTTCATTACTTGCATTGTCTCCATTTTGGTTTAGGATACACTATTGTGTTTCAATAGCATGACATTACAAATAGTTTTTAGTTATTTTATGAAATATTTAATTTTAACAATATGTCAATAAAACAAAAATGATGTAGGCAAAATGAATACAAACAGCGCACACGTAAGCTTAACAACTAGCATCACAATCTTAGACTTATGGAAGCATAACACTACATTGCTTTTGAGGAACACAATTAGAACTTTATCATCATACCAATTATACCGACAGCGATTTCTTGGTTTGAAGCGCACGTTTAATCCCTAGGCGACTGGTCCTTACTTTCAATATTAGCTGCGTGCGACAAATGAAAATTACACAGAGCAAAACGTTCGAATATCGTATTATCCAGATATTACTGTAAAAAGTATCTAACATATATATTACAGACTCAAATTGTATCTTCCATAAATTCTTTGTTCATCTATAAAATGCTACTTTATTGAAAAAGAGCTAAAACAATAAATCCTGTGTACTTTGTGAGCATCCCCGACGACCAGGAATACTCACGATCTGCCGAAAGTCTCAAAACTACTTAAGTATTGGGGCTCTGTGTTGTAGCATAGTTCAACTTATTATTTTCTGGATTACAATGCTTGGAGATTAATTTGGCTATTAAAGCAAGGTTCACACTGTCATACAAACTATTATGAGTGAAAGGATCACACACAAATCAAAGCCAATTTCAATTTACGTTTGTACGATGTAAACAGCAATTGGTTTTAACTTGTTTTTTTCTTTCATTCATAGTAGTTTGTATGACAGTGCAAACCTTGCTTTACCTTTGTTTGAGATTGTTATAAACAACATTGCATAAACTAGAACAACAAAGAATTTTTAGTAGATACAATTATTTACAGATGAATAAATAAAAACCAGTTCATCTTCAGTGCCAAACTGATAGAATTATGCAAATAAAATGAACAATATTGCTCACTTAATAACATCCATCATTCAGTTTTAATGCATCAGTTGAATCAGCTTGGTACTAAAGTCTAGACAAATACTCGATTGCCAACTTCGTAAAGAAATTATCAGAAATCCCGAATGCAATTACAGTTTAAATGGGTTATTGACGACACTTCAATGCTTAAAAATTAGCATCTATGTATTATTGACTAATTATATTAAAAAACTGAACATATTAAAAACATTGGAGGAACAAATTTTGGTTCAAAATTTACTTCTCCAATAAGTCTAGATTTAAGACGATTTGTATTATGAAAATATTAGTACATATTAAATTCTTACACTATTAATAAATCAGAGCAAGAGTCCAAGATAATAGATTTGAGTGAAATTTATTTCACTTTTGGATAAAATGTTTGAGTCTCATCAGATTCTATATTTCTATTTTTACCTCTTCTATCCTGTGACATTAAGAGGGCCTTTTTGGCAAGCCCATTAGATTCGGCTGGGTGACGAGCGACACATGGATTTCACTGAAATTCTCGGGGTTTTTGACCCGTCTGGATTCAATCCGGGTCCCCGAAACACCAAGCTGCCACCTCAACTGCTCGGTCGTTCGGCCATCTGGAAGATTGTTTTGAATTGAATAATTATGTAGCAAGTGTTCTAAAGCTGTTTGAAAATTAGCTTCGACGGCCAAATGTTTTTCCTCCATTTTCCTTTTTTAAAAATTGATCTACGTAAACTGTTGTACAATTTATTCCTTATTTTTGCTACACATATTGTTTAATTTGTTTCATACGTTTTATATATTTGTTCAAATTTCTTTTAAATATTCAAATGGCTTTAGAACACTCTTGCAACATTCTTATTCAGTTCAAAGGCACACATGACAGATGTTGCAGTTTTGTAAAAGCATTTTATCTCAAAGTGAAGTAAATTTGACTCCTTAAAGCTATTGTAACATTTTTGTTTTTATTATATTGCAAAAATTATTGAACTAACTCATATTTATACTGTGCATGAATATAAAATACATGTTAATGTGTCGAAAAATCTATTTTAAAATAACACAATTTACAAGTTTATTACAATAATTTATTTCACTTTTACACTTTTATTGCTATTTTCTCGAATACTTCACGTATTCTATAAAATATTAGATTGAAAATTTAAATATTTATATCAAAAAAAGTTAAAAAAAAAAATACAAAAATGTTTAAAAGCATCTCTCGCAAAATATTCCAAGTTTGTATGTGATGGAAGATTTGTATCATAAAAAATCAATACTAATTACAGTATACATCTCTTAGATGCTATATCTAATCACCATTATTATGTAAATACTTGAATTATGTGGCCATAGTATTAAAGAAATAGCATTTTTTGATTTTAATACTGATTACATTTACTAAAATGTAAACAAACAGTGCAAACAAAATTTGTTCGTGATGGGACAATTAGAAATGTTTGTTCCAAGCAAGCTATATTTCAAAATTTATAATTAAAACTGCAGAAATGTGTGTAGATAATGTAAAAATTTAAAACAGTTGTGTTCTCAGTTTATTAAATTTTTGGTAAGAATGTTAGTTAGACATTAAATCCAAAACTACATTCGCATACAAAAATTATATAGAGTTTACAAAAATCATGATAAAAAATAGCGTGTTTCAGTTGGTTTATAATGTGATATGTAATGTGTAGCATCCAGTAAAAAGAATAAAAAATTGCTTGATTGTAAATTTTTGTAATTTTTCTGTAATAAATTACTTCAAAATCAATTTGTTCAACAGTTTAAATGTAATTTAAAAACATAAAAAATATACATTACAAATACATTGATGTTTCTATGGTAAACTGGCCCCCATACAAATGAAGAAAACCCACAAAACTCCATACGGCCAGCCCAGTGATTGGGTGTAAACCCACGACTGAGTACAAGCATTCGGTAGTTTTTATCTGTTTGATCACCAATGGGAAATATCAAAGTCTATATCAATTCAAATAGGCAGCATCCATGTGTGTAAAGTATAATGATCCATTGTCAGTAATGAATCAATATTAAAAAAACAGTCTGATTTAAAAGTAAGATATGAAAAAATATTTTCATATTAAGAGTTGTATAAATGATTAGATTTTCTTGTTGCTAAAATCTATTGTTAATCTTTAAAACAGATGGAAATAATTCCAGAAAGCTTGTATACACATGATGGCCATAATTAAAGTTTCTCTATTCAGAGCATTCTTTAGCTGTAACTAATAAGCAGATTGCATAGTCTGTATACAAATTTTGGTGTCAAAGGATGAGGAAAAGGATTTTTCAAAAAGATTTGCAAACATACCTTCTGCAGAGGCTGTTTACCGTCATAAGGAATATGCCAATCTGTATATCATCATTCAGGTGAAAATTTAAGGCAATTAGCTGATAGCAATTGCTTTACAGTGATGCTTCACATACACACTGTAATACAATCCTTTAAATCTACCAAAGTTGCAACCCTTCCTTCATAAACCACATTCTTTAAATGGCACAACTAGTAATCACTGATTCTGATTCTTGTCATTTTCACTGTTTAAAATAACAGATTTAAATTTCACTTTAAGATTGTTATTTGTTATTTACAGTGTTTCCGTTGTTTCTGCATCCCCTGCATAGTCTATGTAAATTCTGATGTCAATTTGCTTATTGGTTACAGCTACAGATTGCTCCGAATTAGGAAACTATGGGAATAATTGGAAATAAACATAAGTGTATGAAATGACAAGATTTAAAAATCCAGCATATTCAGTTTGAAAAAACTATGGTGGATGCAGAATCTTTTTAAAATTTTATCTTAAAATTCTGGTATCTTCAGCCATATTCTTGATCTCAAAGCTTCATATCCTTTCTTGTATATATTGGAAAATAGTATACACGTGCATATTTGCAATTTCTTACACTTCAAAATTGCAAAGTTAAATTGCACACTACTCATTTTGAGTTAACTATTCTTATAATTACCTTTAACCCCATCCGTTCCATCATCTTGTCCTTTTGCATGATTGTTGACGTGATCTTGGTTTACAATGTAAGCCAGTTCCTCATCTAAAAAAAAAAGTGCAAAAAAGTTTACTTCAAAGGAATTTTTGATGTTAAATCTCTAAAATAAATAATAAATTGAGATTAAGCAAAGATTTGAGAATGCATTAATTTAAAAAAAGTATACATACAGAAGAAAATTAATTTGCTGAAAATTAAAAAAGTAATTGACCTTTCATAGATTTAACTACAGTAGAAGCTGATTAAGTCGTACAATTTATTCCGAATTATTACAATTAATATACCAATTTTAGCGAAACTGATGCTATTGGCAAGTTCTACCGTGCTTCTAAATCAAAAGGTGTTACTGGCAAAATTAAAAGCTGCTAAATGACGTTCCGGAAGATTAGAGTGCAATAATTTTACTGCCGAAATAGATGTAAAGACCACATAGTAACAGATGAAAGATTGAAAGTGGGATGAGCATATCGCAATATGAACTTACCAAAGATTTCCTAATCAATATTTGGTCCAAAACATTTATTGTGACGACACCGATCCAAACTTATCACATGAAATTATTTAATTCCTGGGTAAAGTTATCCAAAACGAGTTGAAGGAACAATGACAGTTTTTGAGTATCACCCGACAAAAATGGATCCGTACTTGCTATTGATATTTGGATCCGAGAAATGCTGAAACAGGCCATCTTCTACAGTTTCAAAGTGAAATAGTCTGGTAAATTTGTACTTATTACACAAGATTTTTTACAGTTGATGTATATAAAGTTCATTACTCCTATGATGAAATCAACACACATTTTTGCTATAAACTAAGCAAGAATTTAAACTGTGTCTTTAAGATAAGAGAATATCACTTTTTGTATTGTGGAAATTTAAAATGTATCTTGAAACTATACACACAATGTTTTGAGACTGTGCTTATGTATTTATATAGTAAACAAAGAATGTGTCCTCCTATTAATGATGTTTTAACAGAAAATCAAAACAATATACACGCAATTATTAAATATCTTATAGAAAAGGTTATTTTTGCACATTAATGCAAAGTGAAATCAAATTTTATTAAAGAACAATTGCAGTCTTGTCACATGAACACAGATATTCAAGCGTTTCCATACAACTATACAGAATTCTCTGTTAATAATACTTGAAGACAATTAGGTATTTAATGCATAAATTTGGGTACCTGAAATTTCTAAATGTGTGTAATTTGTATTGCAATAACTATGTTAAAAGAATGCTAGATTGCATACTTTATCAATAATTCATTATGATGTAAGGTATTGGGGTGATTCAAAAGTTCCCGGACACTGAACATTTTTGTGAAAGATAATGCTCTGGCACACCATTTCAGAGTGGTCCAAGAAATGTTAGAGCTGAAGGGAATCAAAGTTTTGCCTTACCCAGCATACAGCCCTGACCTCTCTCCATCAGATTTTCACCTCTTCTGATCGTTGGCACATGTTCTGTGAGGACGTTCCTTCAATACAGTGCATGATATTGAAAATGAGGTTCATGAGTTTTGGCATCAAAACTCGCCAAGGAATCCACTAATTTACAAAAAGATGAGTCACGACCATTGCTAACGATTGCTATTTCAAGGAATGACAGTGTTATTGTGTTTTAATATCATTAAAGCTTTTTATCTTGTGCCTGGGAACTTTTGAATCAACCTGGTGTGTGACAAACTACTCTATTCAGAGAACACTTTATAAGTGTATTGCATCTATAAATGCTAAATTTTCACATTATAAAATAGCAGCTTATATTCACACTTAAAATACCAAGGTGGCAGAAATTCAGTTAACCAAATACTAGGAACAGTTACATGTCATTCATAATCAGTTGCTTAAACGGAAGTGACTGAACCATAGAATCTTAGAGACTGCAGTTATCGCGATGCAACAAATCATTATAAAATATATATTTTTGGGCCACTTAATATATTAAATAACTACTTAAATAAAAAACTGAACAGCTCTAATAAGTATTGAATTTAACAGAAAATATAATTTTATAATAAATCGAATCGGATGAGATGACAATCAATCAATTTTAAACAATTCATTAATTAATTGGCTATTCAATTTGACAATTATTTTAGTTTATTTTGTATCAAATTTTTATTAAGATTAAGAAATAATCTCTCAATCCTGCCGAGTTATTAACACATTTCAAGTATTTCCAATGATAAAAACCGATTATTATACGAAACATTGTTAATTTAAACAACGGATAACTTTTCAACCAAGTTGTCGGTATGTTTAATATCTGTAAAGTTAATATTAATTAAAATTAATTTTTAGTAGTAAAAACTCTAAATTAAATTATATTTAAAACTAGATTTGGGAATGTTTTGCAGTTTATCTAAATTATAAGACAGTAAAGACTACCTTTTACTGTTAGAAAGGAAATTATTACAGACTTTAGTAAATTAAAATCAAAACATTTTGGTGTTAAATTTCTAATGTTTAGAAACACGAAAGCTGCATAATTAGTAGTCAGATGTACTGTACATCCGACATGACCTTGGTCTGATGATTGATAATCTGGGCAGGCTTTAGAACCTAAAGTACTGGAAAATCAGTAGGGTCAACCTGTACAATTTTAATGTTCTTCTAATAGAATATTCAGATTTTTTAAAATAAATTATTTAATGTCATTTACATATATTTTAAATGTAAAACAATTTCTGAGAAGTTAAGGGAATTAAGCTGTTTTTACTCAATGTTCAGAGAGAATTTTTCATGAATATTACGCAAGTGTATAGATTTTTAGTGTAAATTTAAGATCTTACTATAATTTTTTTAAATATTTGTACATACTTTCTAATGAATATCATTCAAACATTAAAGAAATAAAATTTCCTTTCTAACTTTTATAATAAATCCTCCAATTAGTTTATTTTCGCTCCAATTTTTAAATGCTTTGAATGCCAGTCAAACATTCAAACGACACAAAAATGTAAGGTAAAAACTTATATTCTTAAAGACATGATGAAGTGCTATGCTTATGTATTACTTTGCAATGAGAAGTTTTCGAAAGAGCAAACAATTTTATGTACAGTACAATAATCTATCTATATAAAATGGTGTTTTGAATAACTTCAATAATACTAAAAATAAAAAATAAGATTTCTAAATTATTTACTTTCAAAAAATGCTCTATAAACTTAATATGAAAATTGTTGCACATCATTCATTCTGAAAAAATTACTTTTACATCCATATCCGTTTTACAAAAAAATAATAATAATAATAATAATCTGAAGAAAAGAATTTATTTAAATTATTCTCTCTTAAAATTTAACCTTTTATGACAGCATACTTATAGGATATTTACTGAAAATTTGTACTTAATCCACTATTTGTAAATAGATTAACGAAAACACACGTGTATTGTGTGTAACTTCAATACTAAATATTCTTAAAATTTCATTATTCTATATGTATAAATCATATAGAATAATGCTACATTTTACTTGTGAAACATTAGAGAGGTTGCGGCCGACGTTTTCATTGCGAAAACGTGTACATCGGACGTTCAGAACCGCCTTCCTGTAAGCCTAGGAGTTTGACAACGGCATTTGGAACATCAGTGGAATCACGCTCGACGTTCCAAATGCCATTGTCAAACTTCTAGGCTTACAGGAAGGCAGCGCTGAACATCTGATGTACATGTTTTTTGCGATGAAAATGTTGGCAGCTACCTCTCTAATAATAAAATCAGATTGCTTTATTGCAAGCATAGCAAAGTAAAAAAAAATCTATCTAAAAAAATAAAGGAGTTGATAATCACTTAATACTAGGTTTTGAATGCCTAGACACATTCAAAATTAACATTTCAATGCAAAAATTTACACAGATATTTTTATACTTTAATAAAAAATTTAAAAAATTTTGGTGCAATAATAGTTTAACATTAATTTCCAGTCAGAATTTTCTGTGTATATTATAGTGTTGACTACAAGCATACTAAAGTCAGATATTGCTGAAAGAATAAACACTTTTGAAACCTTTATAATTTAGATGATTTCTTTAAATGAATAATGTATAATTTTCAACTGCAAAACACAAATTTTAATGATCAAACAATTATATTAGGTCATCTTCATAAAAAAATATGGATTGACGAATGTTTCAAGTAACAAGTTTTAGCTGTTAAAAAAAACTACTTAAACTTGCAATTATTAAATTATTGTAGGATCAAAACTGATCAAAATGAAAATTTTACCTGCTATTTTACTCATGTATACATTCACATTAAGCTTCATGTACTAATTATTTACTAATTACCATCAATTGTTGAGTAATTGCTCAGCTCCTTAATTAAATATGGTTTTCTCAGTTTTTATAAAGTCAAGTATTACCATATTCATCTACATTCACAGCTAAAATTTAAGCAATCGTCCGATGTGTTATTTACGTTAATTGTAATTATAAACCTCAAATTATCTCTCATTTTGTATTGTAATAATTAAAAATTTTAATAAAAAGATATTAAACTTGTGTGTAGTTTCAATGTCTGTATATTCCTTCTTACAGATTTATAATCAAAAAGTATGCTCCAACTGAAAATTATCATCATATCCTAATAAATATCGAGTAATTACGTCTTTTTTCTATAATCAACGTCATCAAAACATAATTTCAAAAAAGAAAGCAAGCTTTTATAAGAAAAAAGTCTTGTAAAAAATAGAATGAAGTGAAGTTTAGGTTCTGAAAGTATAATTTCTATTAGCACGACAGCGGGAACATTAGTATAACAAGGAAGAATCAAGACAACTGGGCATAAAAACAAAAAATTTGAATTTTTATTTCGGGACTTGTTCAGTATGATTAGTTACAAAGAACTATTCAAATAAGTTTCATTAAAGTTTTAATAATAAACTGTATCGGGGGTGTCCAACAAGTCGATTGTGATCGACCGGATCATCATTTTGGTCAATCACAGAAAACCTGGTCTGTTAAAACACAGGGTAATTTTAATAATAATATTCAATTTTTCACACATCTTAAGTATTTGCTGCGGACTAGTACCATTTCATAAGATAATGTAAGGCAGATACAAGGGAGTGCTGTGTTGACAGTCATTGTTAGATTTGTTATTTTATTAATTATTATATTACACTCTAAGCAATTTCAGTTAAGTTCAAAATAAATTTAGCTCTTATTTTGCTTGCTCAATTTGTGAGATAAAAAGAATTTTTTTTTTGTTATGGTATAAAATAAATGACAAGGTTTAATTTATATTTTAATGTATAATTTTTTAATGTAATAATTTAAAATGTTAATTACCATACAATAAATATATATATAACTACATTTAGCAGCATAACTTTATTAGGGTGGATTATTAGCTTTTATAGAATAACAGATGTGAAGATCGTGTGTTCTTAAGTCATTAAAGTTAATTACACCCTACTGCAAGCTGGCCAGGCCCGATCTATATCATCTGAATAGCATATCAATTGTATGCAAGATATTTTTAAGATGAACTACGTTACAACTACTTGTAAAAATTTGATTTATGCAATTACGCGATAACGGATTTAAACAAATTATCAGTTTGCATCCATAAATCTGAAATAATTTAGTTAATTACAACATAGATATGAAACAAATTTGTAATTTCAAAATATTTCTATAAATAGCAGGTTCTTTTTCATTTTGAATTTATTTGCAAAAAGTTTTTAACGTTACATTCATTTAAATCTGCAACTCACCTTTTCTAGTTTTGAGTTCTTCATCAAAGTGGTCTTCCGGTTTATCGTCTGGCCAATGTAATTCGACACACAGATAGTATATAAAGACGCCGATGACGCCACCTACGTGCGGCCCTACGATTCCGACCCACCAATAATTCCGATGTCTAAAACAAAAAGTTGTGATGTTAGAAAGCAATACGGGTACTTAATTCAAATCTAACGCGATACTCACGTGAATGGTTCTGCTCCGTAACCGGCTATGGCCGTAAATAATCTTGTCGGAAAATCTCTTGCCGGATTCAACGGTGCCATATTATTGAAACCAAAGCACATCGCTACTGCAGTAATCATAAATCCCAACAGTACTGCAATACCTGTTGCATCAAAGTTTAAGTTCTTTTTGTCGATAATAGCAACTGCTGTCATTGTCAGAAGGCCTGTGCCGACGACCTAAGAGTCAATTAGTTTAGATAAATATTAGAAAATACATTAGGATATATCTGAATCGTCATTTGGAAATTATGATTAAGTTTAGTAATAGCTACCTCATTGAGAAAACAAGTTCCAATAGATACAAATGGTTTGGGATAAGTTGCCCATATGAGTGCAGTTGCATTTTGACCAATAACCTGTCTTGTTCCACCATCCAAATGAGCAACGCCCTCTATTTTTGTAAAATATAAGACAAAATTTAGTGATGTTATGTATCCTCTGAGAAAAACTAATATGAAATTCTTCCAGAAAGCCAATTATATTACTTCTTCAACTTTTGTTATATTTTAACTTTGATTAGAAATCAAAGCTGTGCTCTGATATTAATACTGATATAAAGATAATACACGAACAGACAAGTTTATAAGCACAAAATTGCCAGGTGAAGCTTTGTTACTCTATCTTGAGCCACCAGACTGACCGGTTCAAAGTCTGGATTAACAAAAATTGGTGATAAAGAAGAGCATCTGGTCATAAAATGAAACTATACACATACATGCACCCCATTTTTGGTTTCATTTTATGGCCAGATGCTCTTCCTTACCACCGACTAGCTTATTTTCATTAATCCAGACTTCGAATCGGCCTGAATCTGGCTGTTCAGACAGAGTAACGAAACCTCGCCTGGCAATTGTGTCATATTTAACTGGTTTATGTCAGGGAATCTTCATGTTGCTTAACTTGTAATCTGAAAATAACCGGTGTGTCCGGCAAAATTCTTAACAACCGCAGATAAGTAATGTACACATTGACTGATCAAATAGATATATTAACATGTTCGACTTAATTTCTACCAGTTACTATGATAAAAACTAAGATTTTGTGATAAAAATTTCATTTTAATTATTTGAGATTAAAAAATAAGTTAATAAACTATAAAAGATATACCATAATATGTCGCAAACAAGACAGCAGAAGCCACAAAGCCTCCAAGATGTTGGGCTAAAATATAAATAGGAACTTTCTTCCAGGAAAGTTTCTTCACAGTTGCCAAAGCAAAACTCACGGCAGGATTTAGATGGCCTCCTAATAAAAAAAAAATTAAATATTAATTTTAAATTTTAATAAGAACTGTTTCTAAAGTACATTTAATATTTTGCAATAAACTCAAGAAAATGTTTAACATGCTTCTTAGGTTACAGAATAGAATAAATAAAAATATGATTTGGTTTGTCAATCAAATTTCCAATGGATTTGTAAGCTAATAAATTTCATGATAAATTCACAAACATCTGAATGTTTATTCAAATAACTTAGAAATTTGTAGGGTGTCAGGAAGCGTCTATAAATTTTTTAATTAATTGCGATTCTAGATTAATAATCGAGCAAATAGTTGGGAATATTTTGCATTCTTGAATTTAATAATTACCCAAGTATGCAGAGAAGTACAAAATCAACTTTTAATGAAAATATATCAATATTTTGAAAAACTTTAAAGAATAAAATTCTTGATTATCTATGTGCTATGTTGTTTTATACTTTAATATTTAAGTTTACTATACAGTTATAAAACTATGCAATAAACAACATTTGAGAGTGCAACTTTCGAAGTCGTTAATTTTATTTACAAATTCCATTAGTGACCAAGAAATAAATTGAATTTTTGACTTTTGGAATAAGTCCGTAATAGCCGTTAGAAGGGAGTAAACCATTTGGCGTCAGTTAATGGATCTGTAAAGAAAATAAAATTAGTTCTTCATTGATAAAATCGTGTAAAAACTTTAAAAGTTATTCAGACTAGCCTGTATTTTAAAAATGGTATAGATTTAAAAAATTATGCATACTAAGAATGAACGGAATTTTCAAGCTATGACTCTTTGTGCAAAGCATTTCTTACAGGAATACTTTTAAATGATAATTCCGTAGTAAATTATGTAAACAAATAGCTAAAAATAGTATCATTGGATAAATTTGCTTTGAAAAAAATCAATAGAAATTTCAAAATATGTTAGTGCTTTAAATAACTGCACAGTAACGGAATTAAAAATCAGTTAATTTAATGCAATTAAATTTTATGATGTTAACCGTAAGCATGATACCAAGATTTGTGATTCAAAAAAATGACTAATCATTTTAAAATAAATATTGTAACAAAGAACATTTACAAAGTTTTTCCAGCTTGAACTTTATATTCCTACCAAATAACTCATGTTAACAGCAAATATAATGTGCCACTGAACAAACATTAAAATGATTACATAAACTAATTTATTTAAAAAATACTGAGCATTTGAGAATTTCAAACTACTTACACATAATTTATCATCTTTAGAAAGAAGAAAATCATAAATTATTCTCAAAAAAATAATTTGGGTTACATGATTTATTTAAATGAAAAGCTAATAAAGTATAACAACATGAGTGTGGCATTAGACATCAGTAATGTTAATAACAACAAGAAAAACTCTACCGACGAGATTAAAACAGCTTTTAACGAGTAAACAAAACACACAGCGCATGAAAACGTGCGAGTATTTTTGGCAAAATATTGACGACAATATTGTATTCCACCGAAAGTACTCGCATATTTTGACGCGTTGTGTTTTGCTTCCTCATTAAAAAGCTATTTTAATGTTGTTAACAGAGTTTTTTTCATTATTATTATTAAAATATATACAACATTTTATGTAAAAAAAGTGTTATCAGTAATATATTTAATAGATATAAACAAAAAACTCAATACTTGAAGATTTTCTTTTGTTTTTTGACAAAGTAAATGAAATAAAATTGTCAGATTTCCCACAGGCTAATATTAATTCAATTCCAAATTAATTGAATTAATACTATAAAATATTATAGGAGTTTTAATTAATTTAGTTTGTAATTTATCTTGATTGGACAGAGACTGTCATGGAGAAAGGAGAAATGGAAGGAGACTGTCGCGGTAGTTAAGGGCACAAGGGTCTATGATTTATACTTCAATAATTAAATGTTAAACTGTCCATTGTTGTTTATTGCATAGCTTTAACTTTATTACATAAAAAAATTTTGATTCAATTTAACATTGAATCTGTAAATAAAATAAAATCAGCTCAATTATTGATCTCAAGTAGTGATAATGAGAAAGTAAAAACAAACTGCATGATTCAGCTTGTATTGATAGAATTAGTCTAATAGCTGAAGAAAGTACAATGACATGACATTACCAACTAATTCTGCAAGCCAAAGCATGCAGTTCACTCTCTCTTCAACTTTCATTATCTGGGGTCACTAACAAGTTCTATAAACAAAAAATGAGTTCCTTAATGAAGGCTATGTTTTGATATGAAAACTATATATAAGGAACATTTATGAAGATTTTAAAAACAAAGTTATGCTTTACTATTGGAATTTCATAGGAAAACAATGTTTGTAGTAAGAATTTCACTCAATTTCCCTTTAGTGACATTACCCTATGGGGGAAAAAGAGCAATTGTCTGGGACCCACACCAGCAGGGACCCCCCTCAAACCAGTCTTTTGTAAGAAAATATTTCCTCAGATGAAAAATGTCTGAAGTCAACATTGTACGTGGAGCCCCTAAATTCAAATTCACCCGGGCCCCCACAAAGTTGTAATGCACCACCATTTCCCTTACAAAATATGTATGAACAAATGCTTTAACGAAACAGGATAGATTACGAAAAACTGAATATTTTCTTGCTCCTTTAAAACACTTAAGATATTGAGTGTTGAACACAAGATTGTGTTATTAATTAAACATTTGGCTTTTTTCCCATCTTTATTCAGTTGATATGGGTACTTCTACACGTTTTGGGCACACACTTAAGGTATTTTAAAATGTTTATCTTGTGGTATAAAATGTGTGTTAAAAAAATGATTTATACAGTATATAAAACCTTCAAAGTAATTAAATATAATTATATACTACTTTAAAATTACACAATGTGAAATAATAATGTACATTTATTTTTCCTTTAACTAATTAATAATCTGCAAAATTTACCTGTAACTCCTCCTGCAATTGCCACTCCCAACATAACTCCCACTCCCCAGCCGAAAACAATAGCGAAGACATCTTTTACTCCGCCTCCTGCTAAGACATCCTGAGCAAAAGCAGCATCACCAAATAACTAGAAGATAAAATAATTTCATAATTATAATATATAATAAAATTTTAAATATAACAAGGTTAAGTACTTATATATATGTAAAAAATAATATATAGGTGTTATGCATGTGTAAAAACCTTTACAAGTGAATGTTTCACTAGTTCTATTTATAGGTTTTATATACTAAAACATTGTTTGTAAAGTTTGTAATTGCACGTAACACCTAAATAGGTGTTAAACACCTATTTAGGTGTTACATGCAAAACATCCCACAAAATCCAACATTGCCAGACTGTCCGTCGAGCACAAACCTACGACCAGTCTTCCATATGCTTGGCAAGTAGCAAAACCGATGGGCCTCGTCTCGAGTAACCACTTGTCTGCTATCCCATAGCATGTCGTGGGATTCAGAACTAACATATCCACAAAAAAAAATTTAAGTTAAAAGGTTTGTTACATTTTCAAACAATTTGGATAGTTGACCTTTCCTTATTCATATCAGAGGTGCCATGACCTACCAGAGAAAGAGACATTTTCAGTAAGAAATCTATCAATACTATGCTCTGTTTATTCAACAATAGTCACATATTTGTAAATAATTTTAATTTTGTGGGGCCTTTAATTCGAGTCCCTAAATTGCAATCTTAAATCAGAAGGAATCAATGCTCGAAAATAAATTTATTTACAAATGAGTAAGAATATGCAAGATAAATATATGTTTAACCTGTTCAAATAATGAATAACGACCATATATTTATCTTACATATTCTGTATAAACAAACAGTGTCTGTACAAATAATGAATAATTTAACTCGCATGTGTACATGTGTAAATATACTACTAATTTATATGACTTTTTATTTATTCAACAATTTCTGAAGAACTGTTTTTACTCAAGTAATAACAATTATTACTGTTTAACAAATCAAATACTAATACACAGAGAATAGAATACAAAGAATTATGTAAGACAATAAGGAAACAGATTACAGAAGATATTAGGAAATACAATGAACAACTGATTGAGAATGCAATTGAAAATAGAAAGTTATAAAAGGATAAAAAGAGCACTAATTGTGGGGAAGAAACAAATAATTACACTGGTAAACAAAAACACCAGAACCACAAACAAATGAAATAATTCAAGAAGTAACCAAGTTTTACAGTGAATTATACGAAGTCCCAGAGACGCTTGGAGAAAAAGCACTTAACAATGGAGAAAACATCCCAGAAGTTCTAATGGAAGAAATAGAATCAGCGCTCAAAACTATGAAAAATGGTAAGACAGCTGGTAATGACAGAACAACAGCTGAAATGTTGAAATATGCTGGCAAAAAGATATGGAAAATCTTGCAAATATATACACAGAATGCCTAAGGTCAAGACACATACCAGATCATTGGAACAGCACAAATATAATACTCATCCATAAGAAAGGCAGCAAAGAGGACATTAAAAATTATAGACCCATAAGTTTACGCCCCATTATTTTACAAAACATTTATGAAAATTATCAACAACAGATTAAAAGACACATTAGATGCTGCACAACCACGGGAACAGGCTGGCTTTAGAAGTGGTTTCAGTACAATAGATCGTATACAAACAGAAAATTATTAAGCCATACCAATGAATACCGAATACCACTGGCAATGGACTTCATTGACTTTGAAAAGGCTTGACTTCATATTTCCCACAGCATTAATAGAGGCTTTAACCAACCAAGGCATTGACAAACCATACATAGAAACTCTAGCCAACATATACAGAGAAGTAAAAGCTAAAGTAAAAATTTATGACAACACTCTAGAATTTCCCACAACCAAAGGCATTCAACTCAATATCACACAAGCTCTTCATGGCAACCCTAGAAAATGAATTCCATAAAATAGACTGGAAGAACAAAGGTATATCTATAGATAGAGAACATCTCAACCATCTAAGATTTACTGATGATATCATCCTGATAGCTAAAGATCCTGCAGAACTACAAGCAGTAATCAGTGATTTAGACAAATCAATGAAATTGGCCTTAAAATGAATTTGGCAAAAACAAAAAAGTCATGTACAATGAACTGGTAGACAATGAAGACAACAATAAACGGCATCACACTAGAAACGGTAGTTGAATATATGTACCTGGGACAAGTAATATCTAAATCTGGCTCACTACTTCCAGAAAACAACAGGAGGATCAAACTGACATGGTCTACATTTGGACGAAATTCTGAAATCTTCAGGTCTAAAATACCAACCCACCTGAAGAAAAGAGCATTCGATCAATGTGTACTACCAGTCATGACTTACAGAAGTGAAACTTAGACACTAAAGAAAGAAATAACAGCAAAACTCCAAGTTGCCCAAATGTCAATGGAGTGATGCATGCTAGGAATAACCAAGAGAGATCACAAAAGAATAGAGTAGATTAGGCAAAGAACCCAAGTAACTGATGTGATCAACAGAATTAAATCTCTCAAATGGCAATGGGCAGGACATCTGGTGAGGAGGACTGACAACAGATGGTCCACGAGAATCACAATGTGGTATCCATGGGGAATTAAGAGACCCAAAGGACGTCTATACTTAAGATGGGACTATGACATAAGGAAACAAGCAGGCCCAACATAGTGAAGAGAAGCAAACAATAGGCAAACATGGGCACAAATGACATACAATTATTTAACCACAGGAGGCTACACCATAATTTGAAATGGTAGAATAAGGTGATGAACATTCAATAAGACAAAAAATTAAGTTAGAATTTTCATTGACTGAATAATTCCGATATCATTTCTAATTATAATTATTAAATTATTAATAGAAAATTAAGAAAAAGTTTATTATATAACATCTAATTCATTAATAATCCTGTAATATTTTTAATCACAGAAAAATCTTATTGTGACATCACAATGCTAGATTTTCATCTTTGTTCAAGATTAACAAAGGACAGATGGATGTATGGACAATAGTATCATTGCAATATCTCTAATTTATTTAAATTTCTCATTAGTCTAACAATTTCATGTAATAAAAGAAAAAAAAACAGGCATTTTTACAATAAATTAAGCATTATTTGATGTGAATTGTCTAAGAATAAACGATGAATCACCATACATATGAATCGCATAAAGATATTTAAAATTTTTCTCACTAGACTTAAAAAATACCTGCAATTCAATTGTTTATATTCAATATTAAAAATCAATATCTCTCTCACATTATGCAACTAACTACAGTGAGTTTTATAGATAATCTAATAAAATCACTGAGAAAGGTGGAGGTAATTTTTCATAAAACAGAACTGTTTTAAAGGAGCAGTTCTAGAGACACAAAAATTGGTTTTGTGGCTATGCGTTTCCCCTCGATGATCAGGACCATTCAAAATAAATTTGGTGCTCGAGGCAAACTTAAGAACGGTGCCAATGTACTTATATTCCTATAAAAATTATGATGCTAGTTTAGTACACTTTGCAATTTGGCACCCGAGGCAGTTTCCTCTCTGCCTCGTCTATCGGCACGGCCCCCTCTAATAACGGACAGTTTGGTCCAAAAATACTTTAAAAAATTGTTAAGGAATATTTGTGCTTCCAACAAAATTCTTTTTCTTGGTCAATTTGTATGCTTACAAATATATACTTTTATACCACATTCAATTTTAATCTATTAAAACACAAGCGTAAAAATTCAACCAATCACGTTGTTAGTTTCAAATTTTTAAATTTGAATAAATTGTTCAATTTCAACATGTGGTTAGACTTTGCTAGAAGAATTTATTACAGCTTCATTACATTACTTGTTCTATAGACACTAATTATTTTTATGATACATTCATATATAATTATAAATATAAATCATTTACATAACTATATAATTACATTATTTTGCAACATTAAATAATTTACATTTAGAAATTATTTCATTAATAATAGCATAAGTCTGTGCTGTTGCGGCACTATGCAACGTAATCTGCGGACGCTAAACTATGCTCGACCTAGCTTTGTACCGCGCAAAATACTTTTTACTTAAACGTTCTAATTGATTTTAAATGTCAATTTTGATAGGTTTTTCTCATTACTCACATAGTACAATAGAAAAATCCAATTACTCATCACATAAATATACAATGGAATAATCAATATTTCATTCAGTATGTAAATGAATATTTAATAATTTGTGAATAATTTGGAGCATGTTAACCAAATAATAAATTCAAACACTAGGCACATAAATTTATTAAATATTAAAGTATAGTGATTATTTTTTACAATATTAGAATAAGAAATTTCTTATAAAACATTCTTAATGACAATCAAATATGAAATCTTAGTTAAAAGATTTGTTGTCTAAGAGCAGTTTTAATTGGATTTCTGTTTTTCTGAGTGAGAACAGAAGAAAACTCCAACCTCTCGACTGAGCTACACTGCNTATAACTGTTCTAGGTGGGGAAGAAAGAAAGGATGATGCTGTGTTTATCCATCATTGTATGACTATTCTAGGTGCGGAAGAAAGGATAATGCTGTGTTTATCCATCATTGTATGACTGTTCTAGGTGGGGAAGAAAGAAAGGATGATGCTGTGTTTATCCATCATTGTATGACTGTTCTAGGTGCGGAAGAAAGGCCTCTCGACTGAGCTACACTGCCATCGTCGGAAGTCAACAGAAGCGGGCATAGAGCCAAAAATACTAGTTTTCTAACAAGTTTTTCCCCGAGAACTGCAGTTTCAATCAGTTTTACATCTGGCAAACTCAACAAATGTCTTTACAACACAAAAAAGGATTTGGCTCAACTATAATTACATCAACTTGTAGCAAGTTTGATACCGAAAGTAAATATTGATTTTACCCGTTAGCATTCCGTAAAGATTTTGTGATAATAAATCGGAACGTTAAGATTTAAATAAATTTTTATCACAGTTTTCCGACAGAGCGGCCGCGAACGGAATAAACTAGATTGATAGTGCATGCATAATGGATTTGTTTTTTGCATGTACTACAGGCAGTAATAATGAACTCGACAACAGCAAGAATAACAATACAATTAAGCTAAATCGATAAATGTCATGTTACTTACCGAAGTAATTTTTCTGCATGACTCATAGTTTGATTTACTGATTCAACAAAACTTCTAGTATTTTTTTTTTTTTTTTCTTTTTTATAACACGATTTGTAATAAGAACTGATATCAAAATTGTAGATAAAAAAATACACACATTTACATTCCATTTTACAGATAAAAGTTAAGACAATAGCATATCTATATATTAATCTACACTTATGATACACACGTTCAATGAAATCAAATAGAAAACAATATTGAGGAAAGAAATCAAGGTCAACCGAAAAAAACAAACAATAATTATAATTATCCTCAATAATTTCATACATATACCAAGTAAAATTTCATCTAAACATATCAATTAGTGCACAACATTCAATTTCTACACATTAAAACTGATTAAATTAGGAAGTATTGTCAGCTGAGTGAGAAAACATACAGAATTAGTTTAGTTATAATTAAACAGATGGCAGCACAGATTTCACATAAAGAACTACTATTATAGTAAGCAATAGACTTCCTTCACCCTCATACAAAACAATAATAGGTCATAAATAGAACAGGAATTGTGTAATCAGCTAAACACATCAATAATTTCAAGGTTACAATTGTATATCGATTTTTATTAATAAAAATTTCCTTATATTAAAATTAATAAATTATAAAAAAGGAAGAAGATGCAAGAAATTAGGCCCTCAAGCTAATCCTAGTCACTTAGAGGTCACTTGAAGATCTTCACAGACAAAATTATTGATTAGAAAATAAACAGGAGAAATACACCAGAAGACACTCCGTTGTTTACCTGAAAGATTTTTTTTTAATAATTAAATTAATTTTCGCGTGTTTTAAGGCGAAGATTAAAGAAAATTCGCTGTATTGCCTCAATCTAGACGTTTTACCAAGCCGATTTTAAGTTAATTTCCTCACTTTTCGATAGAAAAAGTGAGGAAATTAACTTGTATATTAATAATTTCGCGTTAAAAGTTGAATTTTCTTAAATTTAATATGTTTTTATCAGCACGGAAGAGTCATCAACTGGAGTTTTTAAGTGCAGAAGTTAGTTCTGAGATGAAAATCCCATCCGAAGGCGTTACCTCCATACAAGCACTTACCCTGCAGGTATCAATCACCCTAAAATCCAGCAGAGTTTCCTCAGAAATAAGGAAGATATTCCAATATACACTGGTAAATTAGTTTTTGTCTTTTAATTATCCTTTAAAATACTTTTAAAGACTTATATTTTAATTGCCTGTAACGAGCAGCATGCAGGACGTAGTTTCCTTTGGTTTCTTATAGATAAGAAATAATAACGCGGAACAGATAAGAAAATAATATATTTTTAATTCATCAATTCAATTTTAATCTATTAAAACACAAGCGTAAAAATTCAACCAATCACGTTGTTAGTTTCAAATTTTTAAATTTGAATAAATTGTTCAATTTCAACATGTGGTTAGGTTCGAATGAAATTTACATGTTTTTTTTTTTTTTTAAATATAAATTCACGTAAAAATTGAAATAAATTGTAAAAAAAATTAATTATACTTACAATTAGGACGAACGTTCCGAGGAATTCGGCTAAAAATTCTCTAATATAAATATTTTTCGTCCTGAAAATCCTAAAAAACGGATAAATTGGTTTCGCCATCTCTTAAACTCGCTTTCTTCCAGGCAGACGACGTTCGTTGACTGAAATTCAGCGCCCTCTGCTTTTACTATAAACCAGTGACATCATTCCTGTTCAATCAAAAAAAACAAAAAAATTATTTATGCATGCTGAATAAAGTTTAAATTACTTTTTAAATCTTACGTTAATAACTAAATTACATAAATAACGTAAATATTACGATAATTTTATAATCAAATATATATTAAAAAGAAAATAATTTACATAATAGATCATTTTATAAAACTTTTATTATTATTATTACAAATTTTTACTAATTTATAAATAAATTATCTTTTGGTATTAAAATACGTTTAAAGATTAAATCCATTAAATGTATTAAACACTCTCTTTTATTATCCGTGACGTCACGAGTTTACGATCTAAAAGTCGTCTGCCACATTTTAGTTAATAATATTGAATAAATGATTTAAATGTCTTATTAGTAAATATATATCTAATAATAATAATAAATAATAAAAAGACATATTCATCATTTAAATAGATTCAAAATATCATTTTTTATTACGTATGACATTACATACTCTCTAAGACATCAATTAATTAATATGTCATTCTTGAAAATTATTTTAAAAATTACTGCAAAATAATTTATAATATTTATATTTTAATATTTAAAATGATTTAATTAATATTTATATTAAATAAATATTTAAAACATTTTGAAAATTTTCTTAAATTATATTAAGCTTAAAATAATAAATTAAAGTTTTACATAAGTTTTATTATCATCTCTAAGACTAATATATATTTTTAAGATAAAAAGTAATGTGTAAATTTTCCCGAATATTTAAATTTTGATATAATTTGTGATATGAAAATAAAATCAACGTCATCGTAACAACGCATCATANACGTGGGGAAGAAAGAAAGGATGATGCTGTGTTTACCCATCATTGTATGGCTGTTCTAGGTGCGGAAGAAAGGATGATGCTGTGTTTACCCATCATTGTATAACTGTTCTAGGTGGGGAAGAAAGAAAGGATGATGCTGTGTTTATCCATCATTGTATGACTATTCTAGGTGCGGAAGAAAGGATAATGCTGTGTTTACTCAGTATTATATATAACTGTTCTAGATACAGAGGAAAACAAATAACGATGCAGAGTCACTTATTTAATTTTACTCAATTTTCGTACACTCAGATGCCTTAAAAACAATTTAAAAAAACAAGAAAAAAACACGTTTAACAAGGATAAAAATCCTTAATCAAAGAAAACATTGTGCGTCAATTAGGGAAATGTATTACGAAAATGTACACAAAAGAGTTTCCCTTTTACTGTTTTTCCTTTATTAAAACTTTAACAAACAAATTTTCTATAAAGGAAAATAAACTTTTCGATAGGACTATAAATAAATCTAACGTTTACTCAGTGATTAATAAATGTAGTTCTCAGTGTGTACACAGTCGAACTTTGCAGCACACAGACAGACACACACACACACACACACTTGACAGATATATATTATAAGGCTGTTCTAGGTGGGGAAGAAAGGATGATGCTGTGTTTACCCATCATTGTATAACTGTTCTACGTGGGGAAGAAAGAAAGGATGATGCTGTGTTTATCCATCATTGTATGACTGTTCTAGGTGCGGAAGAAAGGATAATGCTGTGTTTACTCAGTATTATATATAACTGTTCTAGATACAGAGGAAAACAAATAACGATGCAGAGTCACTTATTTAATTTTACTCAATTTTCGTACACTCAGATGCCTTAAAAACAATTTAAAAAAACAAGAAAAAAACACGTTTAACAAGGATAAAAATCCTTAATCAAAGAAAACATTGTGCGTCAATTAGGGAAATGTATTACGAAAATGTACACAAAAGAGTTTCCCTTTTACTGTTTTTCCTTTATTAAAACTTTAACAAACAAATTTTCTATAAAGGAAAATAAACTTTTCGATAGGACTATAAATAAATCTAACGTTTACTCAGTGATTAATAAATGTAGTTCTCAGTGTGTACACAGTCGAACTTTGCAGCACACAGACAGACAGACACACACACACACACACACACACACACACACACACTTGACAGATATATATTATAAGTGGAAATTGGTTTAGTTATATAACGGTTTTTTCTTAATAATACTAATCAATTGGCGTGTAGATACTCTTTTCTGAGTTCACTCACCCCGATTTTTGCGATGCAGCTGCACCAGTTACTATAGCAACACCCGATTTTGTGACATAATGAAAACACGGAGCGATGGTTTATTATTGAACAAATGTTGTGTTTTCTTGTCCAGGACACACATCCTTTGTGTGTTATTTCCGTGTGTAAAATTCGATGTGATTTTCCTTTGTTAAAGAATTTGTAGTTATTTTTTCCCCTTGCTTCCCTCCACGTTTTTAAAATAAATTTTAGGGATTTTTCGGACTGGCAGGGATGTTAGGGATTTATCTACTGAAATTTTTAAGTGCTCCGAATCTCGATTCGAGTATGTACTAAGCTTTATGTTAATCGTTACAATACGCTCACCACCCTTTTGAGCATTAAATAATTAATAATTATTGTGAATAATTGCCAATAATTTTGAATATTTATTAATTATGCTGAGCAATTTCCAATTATTGTGAACGATTATCACGTTTTATGAGCATTTAATAAGCATTGTAATCATTCACCGAGTATTTTAAGCTTTACGTATACATTCCAAGCATTTGTCAGATATTCTGTGCCTTGTTCAAAAATTTTAAGCATTATTCTAAGTATTTTAAAGCATTTTGTGCCATTATCAAGCATTTGTCAGGCATTCTGAGCTTAGTAAATGCTGATAATACTCACTTCGTGGCTACTCAAGCACGTGTAAAAGCATTAAAATATGTGCCTACATCTTTTCAATTCCATCACTAAGATAAAACGTATTATAAACTTATCATATGAAAGATAAGGGGCATCCTTATATATTGTACATTATATAGTTTCTATGGCGATCGTACGACACTTAAGAATAAAAATACTATAAATAAGCCTTAAGAGTATAAAGATAACAGAGATGAAAATGATGATAACATTTTTTCAGTAGGAGCAGAGCTTAAAACACCACATATACACTTCTATACGTGAAGTTTAGAACAATTATTATAGGAGTAATGCTATAAATAATACAGTAAAAATCTCAGTAGTGTAGAGAAAACAAGGATGAAACTGAGAAGACTCGACAGAAACAGAGCTTAAAACCACTCCTATACATCTTCTAGAAACTGTATACATTAATTATTAAGAGAAATTAATATGTAAATATTGTAAATAATGTACAGTAACACTCTCAGGAGTGTGGAGATGATAGAGATGAGACTGATAAGACATATTCTCAACAGAAACAGAGCTTAAACACTTCACATCTATACCCAGAAGTTACGAATAAGTTCGTATATCACACTCAGTTATGGAGCGTAAAATACAGTCGACCCCCTATAACACTGTTGATTATTCCGTTTTATATGAATTCCATGTTGTACGAGTCACTTAGATTTTACAAATACATGTGCCGGGCTGTGAACGACTCACGTATTTGTAAAATCTAAGTGACTCGTATAACATGGAATTCATATAAAACAGAATTATCAACAGTGTTATAGGGGGGNTTGACATTTCTGACAAAATTTTAATCATAAAAAAATGTTTAGAAATATTAATTTACATTAAAAACATTAAATTGATATAAATTTAATTCAATTCTAAAAACGAAATTTAATTTTTTTCAAACTTCAGAGGTCAGGTTTGTTTGTCGTTACGTAATTGGCCTTCTTTGATGACGTATATACAGCAACAAAGCATCTAAATACGTTTAAAAAGACGTTAAAAATTCAAATTTTCGAATAGAAATGCTGCAAAAAATGAATTTAAAACAGGGCATTTATCGAATAGACTTTAAAATCCACGAATAAAGAAGAAAATAATGAAAAATTACATTAACTAAAACTAGTTTGGCGAATAATATTAAAATAATAAGTTGCTCGATCTTATAAATATTCAGTAAGGATTTTTGACTATTTTAACGGGTTCAAAATAAAAGAAAGATCAATAACGTCCCTCATTTTTAACTGGTTTGTAAACTATGTTAGTGACCTGCTATCTTTGAAATAAAATATCCTATCAAGTTATCTTATTATTGCTACTATCACAGTAATAATTTGATAGTTTCATTCACTTAGTTTATAGTAATCATGACAAATTGTTATTGTTCTATCAGTCTACAGCTTGTAAGTGAATTGCAATTTATTGTGTTTATATAGATATATATTGCTACTGTAGTAGTAGTAGTAGTAGTAGTATCAAGGTTGTAGGAGATTTATAAGCTATAAATTATCATCTGATATAGTATAATATGCTAAATAATCAAGAGTAATTTGCAGCAAGATCGATGGTTTTAAGAGTTTAAACTATTTTCAGGCTGTAAAAGTTGCAATTTGGGTAATTCACGCGTGTTAATTATGGCATATACATGTTAAACATGGCGCCGAATTTAAGGTTTTTCTTTATTTTATATAATTTTAATGGGTTTAAAATGAATTAAATGTGTAGAAAATAGAATAAAAATCTTAAATATATAGAAAATTTAAGGATTTTTTCACGTTTTCTTAAGATAAATCGCGACTATTTTAAATATTTTTCAACCGTTTTGTGATGAAAAAAAGTCTTATTTTATGTAACTTTTATGGGCATAAAATGCATGAAATATGTAGAAAATAAAATAAAAAGATTAACTATAATACAAGTTCAAAGATTTTTTTTATGTTTTAAATTAGAGTAAGGTATAGTTCATTGACCTTCCATTTTTAAAACTTGAGTATGTTCAAAATATTTTTCGCTGTAACTCTAAAAATAATTAAGGAATATAAATAAAATAATTATACAAAATACTTCATAAATGTGGCTTTCGATTGGTATATTAATATGAAATCTATATGAATTAGATATTTTTAAATTAATTATATTATAGG